AAATGAGAAAAAAAACTTTGACCTTTTTTTTGGGGAAAAAAACACGATTTGCACATATTTTTCATATTATTTTTTGTTGTTTTCATTTTCTTGATTCATTTTATAGAATGGAAGACGTATTACAGAAATTGAGATGATTTTGACTGGTTTTACAATGAAAAGTACCTTGAAATTGAGCTCAAAGCAGCAGAAATGTTCGATTTTTACCAAAGTTCAAAAGTAAACAAATCATGCCAAGCGTCCAATACACGTCAACTGGTGAGTCTAATATTCTTTCGCAAGTGCGCTGATATTATTTATACCATCTCTACACCATTTCTACACTAATGCAGTAGTCTGCATAACAGTAAATGTTCTATTTTTTGTGAGAATAAAAATTCAAAGTGTAAAGCAAAAGAATGTAAGAGGGGCCTTGGGATGTGACTAATGAACAGAGGAAATGTCATTTTAGTGCCAGGAATGTCTTGCTTATTCTGGACCCTATTCGGAAATTGGTATCTTTTGAAATTTGTGTGAAATTGGCAAAATTGCTAAATTCTGACCACTGTACTGGATAGTTGAAATTGGTAAATGGATGGTTTCTTGCACTCAATCGATAGAAAAAATGGAGTTCTAGCGAAATATTCATGTTTTTTGTCGACTAGTACAGTGAAATTGGCCGAAAATAGGGCTCAAAGTGGGCAAAATCGCTGATGCATAAACATCGCCGAGACCGCTAACTTCGCGAGAGCATAACTCTGTAAGTTTTCTATCAAATTTCATACTTTTGGTGTCATTATGATCGGGAAATCATTCTCTATCTTTTCATAAGAATGTTTTTTTTTTTTTTTGAAATTTGGCCGACCCTGAGAACAAGTCTCGGAGAGGGCCTTTTCGACCCTCAAAGGGTTAAAGGGTCCCATTTTCATTTGCCACTTGCACCCCAAATTTACTTACTACTCTCTCTACAACATTTTTACCCACTTTAGCATTGAGATCTCCAACCACAAGTACTCTCTCAACTGGTTCAAAACTCCCCATGCACCCACTCAACATTTCCCAAAATCTCTTTCTCTCTCCTCTACACTTCTCTCTTCTCCAGGTGCATAAACACTTACTAAAATCCACTTTTCACATCCAATCCTTATTTTACTCCACATAATCCCTGAATTTATACATTTATATTCCTTCTTTTCCTGCCATAACTTATCCTTTAACATTACTGCTACTCCTTCCTTAGCTCTAACTCTATTAGAAACCTCTGACCTAATCCCATTTATTTCTTCCCACTGAAACTCTCCTCCCTTCAGCTTTGTTTCACTTAGAGCCAAAACATCCAGCTTCTTTTCATTCATAACATCCACAATCATCTCCTTATCATTCGCAGTACAACCACACACAATGATACATCCCACTTTGAGGAGCAGGGATGCGGTAGGGACAATAAGGGAACACTGTATCAACATCCGGGGTCCCAGACTATTCAACATCTTACCAGAAGATATCAGAAACACAGATGGAACAAGTGTAGTAGCCTTCAAGAGGAAATTGGACAAGTATCTTCACCAGGTACCAGATCAACCACGCTGTGATGGATATGTGATGCAGCGGGCCTCCAGCAGCAACAGCCTGGTTGACCAGGCAAACACCAGATAGTAAACTTTCAAAACTCTTCAAAGGTATATCTAAGGTAGCAGGCCATACAGGAAAAGGGGTTACTAGCCCATTGCTTCGGGCATTTTAGTTGACTTTACAACATGCATGGCTTACAGAAGAAACCTTCTTATTCCACTTCCCCATGGATAAGAAAGGAAAAGTAATAAGAACAAGAGCTCTTTAGATAAAATTAAAGAAAATTCAGATGAGTGTGTATACTTTCTTTCTTTCAACACACTGGCGTATCCCACCGAGGCGGGGTGGCCCAAAAGAAAAAACAAAAGTTTCTCCTTTCACATTTAGTAATACACTATATACAGGAGAAGGAGTTACTAGCCCCTTGCTCCTGGCATTTTAGTCACCTCTTACAACACGCATAGCTTACGGAGGAAGAATTCTGTTCCACTTCCCCATGGAGATAAGAGGAAATAAAACAAGAACAAGAACTAGTAAGAAAATAGAAGAAAACCCAGAGGGGTGTGTATATGCTTGTACATGTATGTGTAGTGTGACCTAATCGTAGGTAGAAGTAGCAAGAGGTACCTGAAATCTTGCATGTTTATGAGACAGAAAAAAAGACGCCAACAATCCTAACATCATGTAAAACAAACACAGGCTTCCGTTTTACATTCACTTGACAGTACGGTAGTACCTCCCTGGGCGGTTGCTGTCTATCAACCTATTATCTATTTGTCTTTCAAAAGTAAAACTAGGCTTGTTGTTTATCACCTTTAGCATTTAATATATCAAGAAAATCTTTCAAAGTTTCCAGTAGTTTTAGCACTTATTACCTCTTCCTGTAAACCATTTCATTATTCTAACACTCAGCAATACAAAACTTTCAAGTGTCATTTTGAGAGCTCTTCTTACTCAGTTTATAATCATAGCCTCTAGTTCTTCACGTTCCACTAGCTGACAGGGTTAGGAAGCACTTCTTGTCAATTCTTTTGGATCCTTTTAAATAATCTTGAATGTGATTATGTCTCTTTTTTTTTACTCATCAGCTAGGTGTCATACCCAATGCTTCTAGCCTGCTTTTATGTATATGAGGATTAGTGCACAAGTTATGTTAAAACATATGACTTGGCAAAGTAAGGCTGGAGAACTGGTGGGGTGAAAACCATGAATCCTTTCATCATATGATACATCACCTGGTTGGTTCCTAACTAGTAATACATCTCCATGAAAAAACTGAAACTGCTCTTACACACTTTGGAACTACAGTGGATTCCCATTTTACAATCATCTAATTAATCAACATCCACACTTATGAACAGGGCATTTCACAACCAATTAATTTCTGGTTTCTTACAAATGTCAGTTTATTAAAATGAATATAACAAATATTTAAACACATTCTTTTCAATTATTTTTTTTAACAAATGAATTTAAATTTTACAAATGTTTATTTTATGAATGCATGGAGGGTTCATATTTGTTCTGATGAAATTGGTCAACAACTATAGATATAATAATTAGGATTTTATCTAAGATGATTTTTATTAACACTGGCTGTTTCCCACCAAAGTAGTGTGATGCAAAAGAGAAACACTTTCATTTTCTCCATCAGTGTCTTTCAGAGGTGTGCAGACACTACAATTCAAATGCCCCTCCAAACTTCAAAATATCCCCACAACTCCTTCAGAGTGCAGGCAATGTACTTCTCACCTCCAGGACTCAAGTCCAGCTAACCGGTTACCCTGAATCTCTTTACAAAATGTTACCTAGGTCATACTCCAACAGATCGTCAAGTCCCAAAAACCATTTATTTCAACTCATCCAGGAAAACTTGGTAGCCAGATTTGAGTTCTGGAGGTGAGAAGAGCAGTACTTGCACTCTTGGGAAGGGGGTGGGGGTGTTGTAATAAGAGCATCATTTGAAATATGATGTCTTCACACTTCTAGCAAGAGAGCTATTGACTGAATGATGGTGATTTTTTTTTGGGGGGAGGGGGTAAAAAATCATGGCATTAAAAAAAAGCTCTAATGGGTAATTTAAACTTACTGATGAAAGTGGGTGGAATTTTATTTCATCTTTTATGTTATTGAAGGGCGATTCCAGCACCAGAGCTGCAGGATGGTCACCCTCTAAGCATAAGTCTCCAACTGCATGTGTTGACACTCTGCAAGCGTGAAGAGCAAACAAAAAATAATGATCAGACATGTAATATTGTGTATAACGTATGATTATAGCTACATAAGTGTGGTCCAATCACAGGTGATGAGGGAGAGAGTATTTGGCTTCAACCCCAGTACCATCAAAATAAAATTATTATAAAACACTACAATCTTAAAAATATATACACCTACCATTCGACTTATGACCTGCTCGACATACTGACCACTCGACTTACGACCGTGTTTTTTATGCCAAATTTCTGGGAAATAAACAACTGTTTGTGTTGTACACAGTGTTTATCCTAAACCTTACAGTATAAAATACAGTACTAACAGCATAAAAAGTAAAGTAAAAAATGAAATACCAAAATAAAACAATAAAGTCATTACAAAAATGTGATGTTGATATTCAGTAGTAAAGTTCGACTTGCGTGAATTTTGACTTACGACTGGTTGGTCGGAACCAAGCTCGGTCGTAAGTCGGATGGTAGATGTACCTCCGTCTCTTTATTCACCCTTTACACTTTCACTTTTTTTTCTAGCTCTCTCCTTCACTGTGTTTCACAGAAGCCAAAACCTCCTGCTTCTACCCTATATCTACAATATATATTTTGGTTAACCCTTAAACTGTCACACATGTAGATCAACAAGTGTGTGTATACTGTCACATATGTAGAGCAACAGGTGTGTGTATACTGTCATACATGTAGATCAACAGGTGTGTGTGTATACTGTCACACATGTAGATCAATGTTTAAAGTCTAGCATCCTCAAAATGGCTGCAATCGGGAATGTTAGGCCTACACAGTATAAAGTAGTCCTTCACTGTTGGTGTGATCTTCAACAAAAAATTCCTCCACTAATCAGGGCACTGTGGGAACGGTTTGCCTCAAGGTACCATACCAACATGTCTTGTGCTAGACATCCCCTCATTCCAAAGTCTATTGGCCATTTAGTTTGCCCAGGTTGATTCTAGTACTGAAGATAGTGATGAATACTTGGAGTATGATAATGAAGATACATAGAGTGCTGCTGCCACTACAGATGCCCCATCAAGCAAGGAAAATCCTGATGAGCTATGAAGTACTACATAACACCACTTCCTTCCAGTGAGAAGAAACATCCTCAGATATGTTATGTATGTTGTAACAGCACCATAAAAATGAGGAAATGCAAGGACACACAATTCATGTGTAAAACTGGCAAAACTCCACTGTTCATGGAACCCTGCATTGAAGAGTGTCATGAACTCAAGCAACTGTACTTGGCATAGTGAACAGTGACTGCAAAGTGGATGTACAGTGCATGTATAGTGACTGTACAGTGTATAGTACACATAATATATGAGAAAAGTAGAATAAAAAAGAATACAGTAGGCCCCACTTTACGTTGTTTTTGCCTTGAGGCAAATGCCGCATTTCAAATTCGGCTCCCCCCACCTGACTTTCTAACACGGTCACTGCATACCACCCAGTTTGTTTACATTCTCTGTGAGCATGTCTCTCCATTATGTCTGGAAACTTTCCATAATTTCAAGTGTTTCAAAGTTATTGCGGATTTTATATGTACTCTGATAATTATACTTAGGTGTACCTGTACCTAAATAAAATTACACACTCTGCTGGCATGCAGGTACACATTAAAATTACTAAGAGTTTCCCACTAGTTTTGATGCCATAACAATAATAATAATACTAATACGTAATAATAATACAGGTCTCCCTCAACATTCGCGAGGGTTAGGGGATCAAGAGCCTCGCGAATGTTTGGTGCCCCAAAATATTGTAGGGAAATATAATACAATACTGCTTCCTTAACTTGTTGAACCATGAACAATCATAAAATACATGAAAATGTCATAAACTGTACTAAATACATACATGTTATGGTTTAATAACATGTATATTATTAAATACCACTGCCTCCACCACTGCCTCCACCAATGCCTCCACCACTTCCTCAACCACTGCGAGTCCCTACTACCCTCCCTCCGACCCCACAACGGCAGCCAGCCCTCCTACCACTCAGTGTGGTGAGTGTTTTGTCTGTTCATTATTTGCTATTAAACTACAGTATAAAAAATGTAAACACTTTCATGACTGCATACGGGAATGGCTATTTGGACAGTATTGGGCGTGACCCATGTTTTACTCTTTAAAAACCCGCAAAGAATCAAAAATTTCTGCTACTGCTAATAAAATAAATAATAATAATAACATAATAATAATAAATGTGATAGAAAAGAAAAGGAAATGTACAAAAATACGGGTGGTTGACACTAATCAGTGTGGCTTTTTTTGCTGGGGTGACATTTGTCCCGTGCTCTTCCAAACATTCACAATAATTCACTTGTTTGGTGCTTTTAATGATGAGACGGAGGAAGGCAGTGGTTGAGGAACGTTGGGCAGTGGTAGGCAGTGGTGAGGGGGTGAGTGAGGGTGGTTTAGCAGCGTTGAGGCGTGGTTGAGGCAGCGGTTGAGGGGCTGGGAAGGGAGCGGGTTTTGGCGGGGGGTTGGGGAGCGGGTTTAGGAATGGTGGAGCACCAGTTGAGGCAGTGGTATTTTTAAACCCTTTTAGGGTTTTGGGCGTACATAGTTTTACCCCGTAGGGGTTTTTGACGTCTATACCATAAATTCTAGCGGCCTCAAATCTAGTGGGAGAAAGCTGGTAGGCCTTCATATGAAAGAATGAGTCTATGTGGTCAGTGTGCACAGTCTAAAAAAAATCCTGCAGCACACAGTGCATAATGAGAAAAAAAAAACTTTGACCATTTTTTTTAATAAATCAGAGACTTTGCAGTGTATTTTCGTATGGTATTTATTGTTGTATTCTAGTTTTCTTGGTCTCATTTATAGAATGGAAGACATATTACAGAAATTGAGATGATTTTGACGGGTTTTTAAACAATGAAAGGTGCCTTGAAATTGAGCTCAAAGTAGCAGAAATGTTCGATTTTTACCAAACTTCAAAAGTAAACAAATCGTGCCAAGCGTGCAATACACATCAACTGGTGAGTCTAATATTCTTTTACAAGTGAAACCATAATATTTATACCATTTTTTACACTAATGCAGTAGTCTGCATAACAGTAAATCTTATATTTTTTGTGAGAATAAAAATTCAAAGTGGAAAGCAAAAGAATATAAGAGGGGCCTTGAGACGTGACTAATGACTAGAGGAAATGTCATTTTAGTGCCAGGAATGTCTTTCTTGTTTATTCTGGACCCTATTCGGAAATTGGCATCTTTTGAATTTGTGTGAAATTGGCAAAATTGCTAAATTCTGACCACTGTACTGGATAGTTTGAATTTATAAATGGGTGGTTTCTTGCACCCATTCGATAGAAAAAATGGAGTTCTAGCGAAATATTAATGTTTTTGTCGACTAGTACAGTGAAATTGGCCGAAAATGGGGCTCAAAGTGGGCAAAAATCGCCGATGCGTAAACATCGCCAAGACCGCTAACTTTGTGAGAGCATAATTCCGTAAGTTTTTCCATCAAATTTCAAACTTTTGGTGTCTTTATGATCGGGAAAAGATTCTCTATCTTTTCATAAGAGAAAATAATTTTTTTTTTTTAAATTTGGCCGACCCTAGAACGAGTTTCGGAGAGGGCCTGTCGACCCTCAAAGGGTTAATAACATGTTATAAATAATAATAATACATATTATTAACATTTATTATTATTATTATTATTAACATGCATGTTATTAAATACCACTGCCTCAACCACTGCCTCATCCACTGCCTCAACCGCTTCCTCAACCACTGCCTCACCGACTGCCTCAACCACTGCCTCAACTGCTGTCTCACCCACTGCCTCACCCACTGCTTCAACCGCTTCCTCAAACACTGCCTCTACCACTCCAGTCGCACTCAATCTACAAGCACCAAACACAATAAATTATTGTGAAATGTTTGGAAGAGCACAGAGACTAATGCTCACTCCAGCATAAACAAAGCCACACTGACGATGTGTCAACCATTCCCTCACATTTTTGTACAATTTCCTTCTTCAATTCTATCACATTTATTATTATTATCATTATTATTATTATTATTTAAGGTAGTAGGTTGGTAGACAGCAACCACCCAGGGAAGTACTACCGTCCTGCCAAGTGAGTGCAAAACGGAAGCCTGTAATTGTTTTACATGATGGTAGGATTGCTGGTGTCCTTTTTTCTGTCTCATAAACATGCAAGATTTCAGGTATGTCTTGCTACTTCTACTTACACTTAGATCACACTACACATACATGTACAAGCATATATGTATATACACATCCCTCTGGGTTTTCTTCCATTTTTCTTACTAGTTCTTGTTCTTGTTTATTTCCTCTTACCTCCATTTGGAAGTGGAACAGAATTCTTCCTCCGTAAGCTATGCGTGTTGTAAGAGGCGACTAAAATGCCGGGAGTAAGGGGCTAGTAATCTCTTCTCCTGTATATATTACTAAATGTAAAAGGAGATACTTTCGTTTTTCCTTTTGGGCCACCCCGCCTCGGTGGGATACGGCCGGTGTGTTAAAAGAAAAAAAAAGAAAGAATTCTATCGCATTTATTATTATTATTATTATTTAAGGTAGTAGGTTGGTAGACAGCAACCACCCAGGGAAGTACTACCGTCCTGCCAAATGACTGTGAAACAGAAACCTGTAACTGTTTTGCATGATGGTAGGATTGCTGGTTTCTTTTTCTGTCTCATAAACATGCTAGATAACAGGGATATCTTGCTACTCCTACTTACACTTTGGTCACACTTCAGACACGCACATGCATATATATATACATACATCTAGGTTTTTCTCCTTTTTCTAAATAGCTCTTGTTCTTCTTTATTTCTTCTATTGTCCATGGGGAAGTGGAAAAGAATCTTTCCTCCGTAAGCCATGCATGTCGTATGAGGCGGCTAAAATGCTGGGAGCAATGGGCTAGTAACCCCTTCTCCTGTAGACATTTACTAAAAAAGAGAAGAAAAACTTCATAAAACTGGGATGCTTGAATGTG